TCTCCCTTTAGGAAGGAGAGTATAGTGTGAGCGTGGGAAGGCAAAATCTCCCTTTTTACCATCTTCCCAAGAGGATGGTAGTCTCCATCTCCGAGAACAGAAATAGAGGGAGAAGAGTCTTCTTCCTACTGAAAAATAATAGAATTCCCCCCCCCTTCATTTTCTACTTCTTAAAAAACTGTACATACCTTTTTCATATCAGGGCACTATTCTTAGTTTACCACTTCTAGTTATCCAACCTAAAAGCCCTGTTATTTTTTTTTTAAATAAAGATCTTAAAAAAGATTCTTATCTGAGACACATAATGAAAATTTTACTGATGTAAAAATAATGTGAAATTACTTAAACCAGAAGGGAAAGTGAACACAGGTAATTAAGGCAGGGATTGGTAAGGCTGGGTGAGAAAAGGAAGTTTCCATTATACCATTTTATGTATGTTAAAAAACTCACCATAATAAATTTTAAAGAGCACTTTGTTGACAAATCACCTATGCAGGCTAACAACTCTCAAGGATCTCAGTTGACTACTTCTTTGAGGAGTCTCTGTATTCAATCAGCCACGAGGAACAAGATGACCCTTCCCATCCCTAAGTACAGATTTTACAAAACAGCTGCACATATTCCCATGCTAAAGAAAAGAGCACGTGAATCAACAATGTATAAGTCTCTAAGGCTCTACACCATTAAATCTTTGGGAAATTCATTTTCCTCTACTCTTTTCCCATTATGTGGACAACTCATTTACTAATTCGGTATTTGTTCAACTGTCAGAATTGTCCTTATACAACTGGTTTTCATAATGCCTCTTAGATTATAATCTCTAAATGGACAAGGATTTGTTGAACCTGTTTGTGCTGTTTTGCTTAGTAAAAACTGTTTAAAATTGCCACAGAAAATAATCATCTGCCAACTCTACATACCTTGAAGGAAAGTACTTCCTCTGTGCTGACCTGCATTGACTTATTATTTTGGATATATCGTATATTGTGAATCATTTTAGGGTTCTAAGTAACTCATACACTAGAGGCTATAAATTTTACTAAATGAAAAAGTACACAAGGGAGCAGACAAGCAGCTGAGAGATCCACTATGTTTTTTTTTTTTTTGTAGTTTCACCTTAGACCATTATTTTTTTTCTAGTTTCACATTAGACCACAAAATTATACCATTTCTATTATTTGTGATGAACTGAGGATAACTGAAGTGTTCAAATTCCCCTTATTCTAACAATAAGGCAATGATGCGCAATGGAAAGCTGAATTCTAACTTGTAAATGTTTTCTGCAACATAACATTTTCAAATCTGCTTAAATCCAGAGAGGTTTTTATTACACAATTTGATTTTTACATCAATAAAATCTTAGCTATAACAATACAGATGAAGGAACAACAATTTAATTTGTACTGAAATAAATATTAGATACACAAAGCACATACAGTGAAAAGGGGGCACAATAAATTACAAGTGGAGACATTATTTTGGTCAATCACCAAAGCAAGCCCTTGACACGTCCAATTTCACACCATCAAATTTATCATTCTTGCTGATTTAAGCAGAACACAAAACAAATATGGATCCCAGGGCTTACTTTCACAGGTACCAGCATAGATAATTTACTACAGTGATCCAATTTGGAAATCAGTAGGGACCAGTAAATCGCTGCATAAAAGAAAAGAGCAAATGAGGTCCTTTTTCCTTAGTGTCAGCAGGCTATGATTATTATGTTTATTAGATTTTCTTGAAAGGACTTCACATTTTCTCAAATATTGAGGAGAAATATATTTCCCCTCTGAGCCCTACATTAGCATTTATGTGCTTTGGTCTTGAATACAGGGGAATGATGAATTTTTCAATTTATTTTATAAATTTATACAGTCTGGATGGTATTGGCCTGAAGAGTGTAACTCTCCACCCTGTACAATATTAGATATTAAAAACGGATTCAAGAGAAGTTACTAAGAAATGCTGACATACTGTATATACAAATTTTTTAGTTCAATATATCCCATTATATAGAGCACCAGAATAATGCATTTATAAATCAAGCAGTTTTTTTATGACTCCAATCCTTGAGACCCTTGTACATTTGTTCCAATATAACACATCACAAATATTGGTCTCAACTTATGTAAGCAAAAATTCATGTCAAAAGCAATTGTTTTATTTTAAAGTTAAAAAGTCAAAGTTTGGAATTAAACTGTCATGAACCAAGAGAAAAAAGTTTAAAAATACTGAGCACATCAAGAAAGTAACTTCAGAAGGCTAGGAAGTAAAAAGTGAAATGATTTGGGGGTCTTTTTCTCCTGAAATACAAACTAAATTTTAGAGTCCATTAAAGATATCCATCAATTTTTTACTATCACTTTCTAAGGAAACAAATCTGTGTTAGATTTTTTAAAATACTGTACTTTATTCTCTCACATCAACTGAAAGTCAAGGCAGGTCAGTTTCCCTATTTGCTCTCAACAAAAGGACAAAGACTGTACTAGAGTTAATCTCTCACACAGGAATGTGTTCCTTTTAAGAATCTACTTCAATGTCACTTTAGAAAATAAACATGTCCTAGAATGATTACTACTACCAGGAAACCTCCCTAAATTTTGTATTGAACTTATTGGGATGACATTGGTTAATCAAATCTTATGTTTCAGGTACAGAATTCTATTAACATCATCTGCGTATTTTATTGTGTTCACCACTCCAAGTCAAGTCACCTTCCCAAATTTTAGACACTTTTCATATTCTTAATTCCAGATCCTTTAACAACTTTCTACCCAGAATATTGTAAGAGGGGTGCTCTTTAAAACAATCTCTGGAAGTAACTCCCAGATATACAAACATATGCTTTTGGTATACTCTCTGCTGAGCTCTACTATCATAAAGACTCTGCAGAATTCTCTTGATCCTAGAGAAATTTCAATGAGGCGTTCCCAGAGAAACTAGTCTCAGCAACTCAAACTGAATTTACAAATCTAGGTACCATTCCAAATATCCAAAAATTTCAATATGTATTTGTGTTTCTATAAAGTTTTAAACTTTAAGAGGTTGAACTGCTTATACCTTCTAGTACCTACAAAGTGACTATGAAAAAAATTTTAAGTATCATTTTTCTACACACCTGAAAAATAAAAAAGAACAATTTTATAATTGATATGTTAAGGGGATGGAGAAACTTACAATAAAAAGAAAAAAAGATCTAAATAATGTCACTGTGGCTTATTTTACTGTTTACCTAGAAAGCTGAAATTAACAGGATACTTCTTCCAGCTTTTGAGCATTTCAATATTTTAAATATGTAGTCAGAATAAATGCTTGCCAAATATTTGCTGAATATTGAGTAATTACATATATTAAAAGGTCACGGAATTTAAGATTCCTTAGTTTTGTGGCTGACTCAGCTCTTTTAGTTGCGATTATAGTCTTCCCACACGGCATGTGAAACTGGGGGGGCTACTTGAGGGAAGAGTGCCACCTACTGATCGTAAACATACCTACCTGTCTGTGGTTACTTTCTCCCTTGAGGTTTTTGTGACAGAACAAGTAGCAAAATTAGTTGAAACCTGGATAACAGTCTTGAGGCTAGCAGATCCTAAGGTGTTTGCACAGGAAACAAGCTTAAGAAAAATTTTATTAATTAAAATAAATGCCTCAGCATTAGGTAAATATCTTTACGACAATCCCTCAAAATTAATTTCATTCATTCTGATCTCAAAGTTTAAAAAAAACTAAGTCAGTTCTACTTGTCTTATTACATATATACTCATCTCCTTTCCAGGATGAATAATACTTATGTTCTAAACCTATAAACCTAATTTGAATGTGTGATCCTGACTTTTAGGAAGAAGGAAGTATTCTGATAGCACTGTAATTCTTAGTTTTACAACAGACCTCATAAATCTTTCATAACTTCTGGTTTAATATTAACATGCTTTGATTTTCCCTGTAAGGGAGATTCCTGAATATCTGAATTTTATTTTAAAAAAAAGAAAAGGCTAGCTTTCATTCTTGCTTACTTCCAGGGGCACCTTATCTAGCTTGGTAAATTTCATCCAAGTAAATTTTCTGGTAAATACAAATTGTTATTTAAGAAATTTCTCTTTGGAATGATCTTAAATAAAGTTTAAATTCATGAGGAATTAAGAGAACAAAGTATAGACTCATGGCTAGGTAAAGGAGGTTTTGTATGAGGCTTCCACCTGTCTGAGAGTGTAATATCTAAAAGTGCTGGAAGAACAGCAGCACTATACTGCTTGCTAAAATAATAGATATTCTGGATGTTAAATCATTTTTTTTAACCTGAAAGTTAAAATAAGTCCAGTTACGCTATTTTTCCTACTGCATTCATTCTATACACTGCTACAGTATTTCCTTAATTTTAATCTGACAGGTGTACACATTACACTAATTTCAGATGCCATTATCAGCTGATTGTACGTATTCATATCACAGAATCTGTGACTACAAGTTCATGCAAACTAAACATCTAGTAATGTTCAAATTGTAAAATTTACTTTTTCATGAGTGTAGGAATATTTCATTTATAAATCAAGCCTTCCTTTAAAGAACAGCCAAACATGAGTATATCAGAAATTAAAAGCCTCAACTTTTAAAGCAGTGTTTTAAATTGTGAAAGTCTAAACATTAAAATTCTTTTTGTTAAAACCAACATGAATTCTTTTCCTTAGGAAAATCTTTTTAACCAACAGTAATTTTCAAAAGAAAAAAGAAAAACACAAGCACATTTACAGGTCATTAAAAGTAAATAATAAATAATCATGGTAAAACAGAGCACACAAAAGACAGTATTAACAAATGTAAAAACTGGTGAAATCTGAACAGGTCTGTACTTTAGTTAACAATATTGTTCCAGGGTTAATTTCTTATTCTCCTCCATAAATCTAAAATTAAAGACTTAAAAATTTGTAAAACAAACAAAACAACCAGCAACTTAAAAATATATGTGCCCTCACTGCCAAAATCTCTCAATATAATTCAAGACATTAATTTTAAAAATATATTTAGATATCAATAATATACTGTTTACTCAACATTACAGTCACTTTATTGCTCTAGAAAATTTAGTTCTTAAACTCATCAGATTACATATATAGTGATAATGAGGCTAGCCACATACACACATACCACACAAAATCAACTGTAGATTATGAGGCTGCTTCTCTAAGATAGTAGAAAAATATTACAAAAAGAGCTGGTTATGGATGAGCTATCAAGAAAGTATCACATTTCTATAGATTGGAAAATTGAACAAAACGAAAACTGATGTTACTATTAAGTTACTAATTAATGTATTTGAGAAATCCAAATTACATGCAGAAAGAAAATAGGTTACAAAAACCATTCATTACTGTGCAGCACTAGATTTTTTGCAACATTTTAAACATTTCTAATCATGCAACAATAAAGATCAAAATAAAATTTTCAGAGTTGACAGAAGCTCAACAAACAGGATTTAACATATATACAACTCAAATCACCGCTGCATAATACATCCAATTCCCCCAAATTTATCCATTATGAAATCGAAATGTACACTGTTCTCCCAAAATGCCCCTTCAGGTACCATTCCCAATCAATTACCTTGCCCATAAACCTTTCCATTTAACCTTTAAATCAGATTTGATGGGTAAAGAATCTACAGGATAATCTTCATTATTATTTCAGATACTAAGTATAGTCACATGATCAATCTTAACTTACATTCCTTTCAAAGGTACCTAAACTGCTGCAATTGTCTATGAGAATTTAAACCTAAGAAACCGAGAAAAACGGTAGTCAAAAATTTGATCTAGGCAATTCTATAAACTATAATAACACTAATAACCTATGTGTCCACAATGTAAAAGGAGTTCCTATCTAAGAAAGCTGTATGACTACTGCTTTCTGATATAAAATGGTTAGGTGACCCCAAATATTTACCTAAATGGCTAACAAGCTTACAGTTGAGCCTTTAAAAACAAAAGTACAAATCTACAGAATTATCAATGGAAATAAAATTTTGGAAGGTAGTAGCGTAAGACACACAGGGAACTACTCTTATAACAACACATCCAAAATTAATCTGTCCTAACAAAGAAGCACAAAATCAATTTAAAAACAATTTAAAATCAAATACAGCAGGAAGTGTTTAAATCATGAACCAAAATTCACAAATGGCAAAATACTGTCTCAAAATATACTGAATTCGCATACGTAAATGTTACCAAAATGAACTAATACCAGATATAAATAAATTCATGTTACCAATTAGACTGAAACAAATTTTAGAGCTATTGTTACAAGAGAAATAAACGTACATGATAAAGGCACAGCAGCATCTAAAAAAAAATTTGATACATGTATTACAAAATACAAACTTTCTTAACCATTAACAACACAACACAATAGAATTTTCTTAGAAACTTTTTTATAAAGGCTTGATTTAACATGCCAGGAAAATGTTATTTTTCCATTAAGATGAATTTATGTAAATTGGATTGAGGTCAGTTTCACACCTGGAATTAACAATCCCTAGCATAGGTATCAGCTTCTAGTAATGCTTATTTATATTTAACTTAGCTGGATATTAAACTATGCAACTGTTGGTGCCAATCTGCTTATAAAGGCAATGCTCTGGAGACAAAGTCTTCTCACAAACAGTGGGCAAGCAGGTTTCATTATTATATGTTCAACAATAATCCTCAATTCATTAAACAAGGTCCTGCAAGATAAAATAGTTTTCTTTCAGAAACACAAGGAAAAAAACAACATATTGCAAAGCAAATGCTGATGAAGGAATTTCCTATAGCCATTAAAGAATTTGAAGAATTAAAAGAAATAACTAGAATGAACTGCCAACAGTTTTCCCTGGAAAACACAAAATAAAATTCTCACATCAATACCTGTCTTTTTGGGAAGAAAAGTTCATTTAACAAAAGCATTCAATAAACAGCTACCTCTGAGGGCTGAGGTTAGGGATGATTTATAGCTTTACAGAAGAATCACATCATTTTCACATTTCACTTGGGCAAATTCAACTACTTCTAAAAAAAGAGAGCAAGAAAGTGAAAATTATATAACATGGGCAATCCCACGTACTATTTCCTTAAGTGAACATATTGCCTCTTAGAGCTTTCATTTGTAAAACAGGAATATGTACTTCAGAGAGTCATAGTGAAGTTTACATGAGAAAACACAGGAGATGCTCAGTGGATGGTACTTCCCAGTTGGATCATTCCACTGATCAAATCAACACCTGTTTGCCTTCAGACCAAAGTCCTCCAGAATTTGGTTTCAATCAAAACCAAATTTTCTGCTTCTTCTCCTGTCACTCTGTCATGACTCATGTTGCATGTTTGTGCCCAAAACAGACTGTAAACTTTAGACTTTGCCTTAACTGTGCTCGTTGCCTACAAAGTACTCTTTATTATATACTGTACACATTACACATATATTATACAAACTAGTAGACACAGTATCATGTATACTGTAATTTATAAGTGATCTGAAGGATCAGCAAGGGTAATTTTTGACTATTCCCAGCTCCTGTTCTATCTTTCTGTATCCTCCGTGTTATTTTTATGGTTAGGAAAAATCAATAATGTACTATTTCAAAAAAAAAAAAAAGGTATGTGATATGCTCTCACACAAAGACAGGAAGAAATTGTGGAAATACTCATATTTATCCCCAAACCACCCCTTCTTGTATTACTCACAACCCCCTTAGGTTCCCAGGCTTGAAACCTGGAGGTCGTCTTCGTCTCCTTCCTCCTCCCCAGACCGTAAGTCCCTACCCTCCTAAATATCTTTCACAGTTAGCTCCTTTTCCTTTACCAGTGAGTCAGTTCAGGCCATGGACGTCTCAGACACTCTCCAAACTGGTCTACCCTTTTCCCTTCTTGGTGAGCCTGTAATCCATCTTCTGGAATGATATTTCTAATTCAGGGTTCATCACATTCTTAACCCCTCCACATCTGAAACTTCAAGTGTTCTTCCTCCTCTGACAAAAATATTCAAACTTTCACTATCTACTCCATCTACCTTTTTTCGCACTAGTCTTTGTTATTTTCCTATATACTTCTCCTCAGCTTAAGCAGCATGTACTACTGCTATGCCAAACACTTTCAGGCACCCATCTGCCAGAACTCAGATTTCAAAAGACTTGGCTGATATTACCACCTCCTCAGTGAATTTTCACCTGTCCCCCTCTGTTCCCTGGACTTTGATAGCAGCACCTTCATCATCATATTGCCTTATAGAGCTGTCTAATGCATTTAACTTTATATTGCTACAAAGCAGGTTATTTCAAAAGTACAAGAACATGTTATCGCCAACACAGTTTTATCTTCTGAATAAATGAATCCAATGTATAAAGCCATGAGGCACATGAAAAATACTCTAGTCAAATCCTCTCAAGTTACAGATGTGGCTGAAAGAAGCTGGCCCAAAGTTATATGGCTAGGTCCTTTATTCTTGGCGTTCTTCTGGACATCATCTGGAGGAAGCCACAAAGTTGCTTTGGAGAGGCACTGACAACAGAACTTTCAACGATGACCATAACGTCATTAGCCTCATGTGGCTTTTGAGCACCTGAAATGTGGTTAGTATAATTCAAGCACTGAGTTTTAAATGTCATGAATTTTAATTTAAGTGGTCAAACGTGGTTAGTGGCTAGTGTATTAGAGAGCCCAGCTCTGGACAATCTACACTAGACATCTACAAGTACTGATACCTCTAACTTGAGAATAAATATCGCGACAGGTAAAAATGGAACAAATTGGCCATATAAATTGTCTCAAAACCCTTTACAAAGTGTAGTGTAGAGATTTTGGTTTTACAGTCTGTATACCAATACCTGTAAGCTCAAATATTTTCCATCACCTTTCCACTCTTTTGGTTAAAATGTGTGCTGATGTGAGATCTTTGAGAATGTTTATTAATACATATTTGTGTTAACTTGATCCACTGATCCACTGCTATCCTTTTTTATTTCTCTGGACACTTCTCAATTTCTATTTGTCCTGATAAGGGTTTGTAAAAAAAAAAAAAAAAAAGAGTGGAAAAGAGGGCATAAAGAAGCAGATTATAACAAATTTGCTTATGAAAAATAAATGGCAGGGAAAAGAAAATGTCTGAAATGAATACATGGACCAGAGAGAAAAAAGGCAAAAACTCACAGAATCAAGTAAAGTGAAAGGTTTATTTTCAACTAGGGACTCATTAAGAACCTATGACTAAAGTAAATTCTATTTTAGGAAATATTGTAAAGACATTGTCTAAGAAAGCATAAAAACTCTCAAAGGAGAAGGATCACAATCACAGAAAGAGGAAAATAAACTATTAAGAACCTAATAGAATCTAAGCACTTTTTAAAACATTACTTCATTCCTCCCCAAGTTTTCCCCTCTACCAAGGAATAAATTAACATGTCAATAACTTTTCTAAAGTCACGCAACTGGCAAATGATGGGCCTCCATTCAAATTTAAGTTCTTTTTACTTTGCATGTGAAAATACAATAGAGATCATGCTAATGTACTCGCTGCATTTCTGGCTGAATTCTGTTATGTGCTGAATTTATTTTAAACTTGACAACAAAAACTAAGTTAACAATGCTATCTAAAGAACACACTTAAGAGGCTATTAAAAACAGCTGTTCATTTTAGTGTTACTCTAACTTTTGAGATAAGGATGTATAACTTACTGTAAAATAATTTAAGCCTCCATTCCTGAACACTATAGTAAGTCTAAATTTCTTCTTTATTTTTCCACTCCAAATATTCTGCACAAAGCCATCTGAAGATTATTATGATCACATCAAAACCACCATCCCCAATTCTAAAAGGTAAATTCCAGAAATCCTACTATGAAATTCAGGGAGTTTTATGATATAGCACCGAGACACCATTTTAATTGTTGCTCCAACCAGCCACCATTCAAAATCTCCATTAATGGTCAAACAGGTCTACTCAATTCCCCTTAAACATGGCTTGTACTTTGTCACCTCTGAATTCGTACTCCTACTGCCATCAAACCTTAAATGCTTTTGCCCATTCTCACCCTCTCTGCAAAGGCTTTATTCCTTCCAGAACAAATTAAAATCTCTATTTTGTGAAACTCTCCTGGACTCTTCTATACTCTCAATGATTTCTCCCTCCTGTGGACTACACTACTGATATAAGTAAACACCTGACAATTAATCTTACATTGACTTGTGAATACTGTATCCTGGAGTATTGTTTCCCTCTTTTATTATTTGACATGTGTTTTGTTTCTTCAATTAGGAAAATTCCTTACAACTGGGACTTGTCTTACACATCTTTATTTTTAAAAAACATTTATTTATTTTTAGAGAGAGGGAAAGGGAAGAAGAAAGAGGGAGAGAAACATCAATGTGTGCACCTCCAACTGGGGACCTGGCCCACAACCCAGGCATGTGCCCTGACTGGGATCGAACCAGCGACCCTTCCATTCGCAGGCTGGCACTCAATCCACTGAGCCACACCAGCCAGGGTCCTTACATACCTTTAAATCCCTTAAGCTTTAGTACTCTTGAAGCAGTCAAGATAACTCCAGGGTCAGTTTTTGAAAAGAAATACAACCACCTTCTTACCAAACCTAAATCTTTCTATGGCTTAGAACTTAAATGTACAAAAACATTACTTGCTTCTAAATTCTAACATAAAAGCTAAATCATGTAAAAGTTACAAATACTGTACTTCACAATACTCTTAATAAAACAGATTTGAACTAATCACCAGCTTACCGACAATATGGATTTCTTCGAGAGGAGTATCGGAGAGTAAGAAATCTATAGTATATAAAAGGCTGGAGCAAGCTTCCTTGACCACTAAAATAAACAAATACAAAAGTAATAAATATACATTTCAATTCATACAAATAGTCTTAAAGGCAATTTAACTGGAGAATCTGTCTTTATTCATCAAGTGGTCATAGTAATTCCTATCATATCTAAGTCCAAGTTATTCTTAAAAAAGGACATAAAAGAACATATATATGATCAGTAAAGAGTAAAATATTACTGTTCAAATTTGTATAAACATGTATTCATAAACGTACATTCACTTTTTAAATTTTTTAAAGCTACTAAATAAATCAGAAATGTATATATGTGCTATATATTGCATCCATGATTACTAATAATTGATAATCAAGTTTTAAAACTTTGTAACATGTTAAAATAAAAAAATCATTTGTTTTATATATATGACAACAAAAAAACACTAATAAAATCACACAGGCTCACTTATAAACTTATATACCATATTCTAATTATTTTTCTTAGGTAAAAAGCACCATTATAATACACCAAGAATCATATATATGTTTATGAAATTTTAAGTCTGGAATTCTTTCCTAAGAAAAACTACCTGGATTAAGATATTTACTGAAATAACTATGAATAAAATGCAGCAACAACACGGGAAGTTGCGTGGCAGGGCTAAGTAAATTATGTTTATTTGATGAACTTAGTATGAAAGTACTTATAATCTTGATTATGAAAACTATACAACAATTCTGAAGAAAGCAAAATATAAAACTATACATGCTATTATATATATTTTAAAGAGCTTATTTATTTATTTTTAGAGGGGAGGGGAGAGAGGGAGAGAAACTTCAATGTGTGGTTGCCCCTCATGTGCTCCCCCCAATAGGGACGTGTCCCACAACCCAGGCATGTGCCCTGACTGGGAATCGAACTGGCGACCCTTTGGTTCACAGGCCAGCACTCAGTCCATTGAACCACACCAGCCAGCAGATATTACTATATATTTTTTTTTGGTGAGGAAGTACATTAAGATGCAAAGTATTTGTTTCTTAAGTTAGTATTTTAGCCTCTTCTAAATTGTGTGATTTAGAATTCAGTAATTGTAATTTACACAATTACAAACTTATCACTAATTTTTCCCAATAAATTCTGTGATAAATCTTTAACTTTTAAATTGAAAAAGTAATATACATACTATAGAAAATATTGAGAGGAAAGAATATTCAATGAAAAACAAATTTTCCATCTCCCAAATTAGCTCCTTCCTCAAAGTTACAGCACCAACTCTATCCCTCCAGAAATTTATACACAACAAGCCTATCTAATAACTAACACAGATATACTCACTTTATAATTCACTGAACCCATATAACAACTTTAGGAAGGAAGTGGTATTATCATTCCCGTGTTATTTATTTATTTTTTAAAAGATCTTATTTATTTATTTTTAGAGAGAGGGGACGGGAGAGTGAAAGAGGGAGAGAAACATCGATGTGTGAGAGAAACATTAATCAGCTGCCTCTCACACGCCCCCAACTGGGGAAGCAACCTGCAACCCAGGCATGTGCCCTGGCTGGGCACTGAATCGGTGACCTTTCAGTCTGTGGGACAATGCCAAACCCATGGAGCTACACCAGCCAAGGCTCATTCCCATTTTAAAGATGGAGAAACTAAGGCACGAAGAAATATATATATATGCCCTAAAACACATTAACACTCCCCAAAATATAAATGCAGAAGACCAGTCCTTAACAAACTTTGAAACATTGTATCTGAGATCATCTCCTATCCCAACACATAAATTCACCTCATTCTTTTTATAGTTTAAAGTATTCTATCTTATGCATATACTATTATGTAACAAGCTGTCTACCAATGAATAAAGCAAGCTATGATGATTCATTCTTTTATCTGTCTTTGCACATGTGTGCATATATGTGTAAGATAAACTCATATTTTATGTTCATTTTAAAACTCATACAGAGCTTTAAGCATTATTGCTATAAATATTTAATACATTTAAAAGTAAAATTTAATAATTTTACTATTAGGTAATGCTTCTACCATGAAGATGTTAAAGAATAATAATTAAAATGGTTTTTAATTTTATAATTTGTGTCATATATTCAAGTGACATAGAGCATTAATAGCTTTTCCTATTAGGGATTAAATAAAACTTTATAACCTTTAATTTTTTAGAATAACAAAGTGATTTCTCTATTTTCATATTTCTGGTAAATTTGCATCACCTTTACAGTAATCTTGAAAGATTAAAATCACTTTGTACATAAGCATTATTTAAATAAAAGATCTAGTAGCACAACTGAATTAATACACCTGTACAGTCAAAACTTGGCGCTCCAAACAAAATTCACTGCAGTTCCCAAAATGAGGTTTTTGTTTAAAAGTACATGATATCTCAGCATTTCATTAAAATGATCTCAAGCTGATGTAAGACTCAAATTATTTCGCTTGTTAAACAAAATTATGAGATGTAGATATTATCTTCATATAAAGAATTAGTTATGGAATCTACATTTTAACTCTCATCCAGTTACATTAAGCAAATCACAGAACCTGGTGCGACCCAAGACCAGGATTAAGTGACCCAAGAAACAAAAAATAAGAAAGTAAGAGAGGGAAAATAAAAGTACCTTTACTGAAAGTGTTTACGTGTCTGATCAGAATTACAAGAGAGATGAACTAACTCTTAGGGCAAAAGTTTTAGAGTAGAATAATAGGCAAATACAGCTGCATCAAATCTTACATTCAATATTCATAGAATGTAAGGTCTGGAAGAATTTTAGGCAATTATTTATTTCAAGTACTACTAGTTTTTTAAATGTGGAAAATCAAGGCTTGAAAGGTTAAGTTAATAGTCAAATCAACTAGAATCCAGGTCCCTAAGACCCAGTAAGAAGTCTTTCCATTATATCATTCCAGAACTTTATTAGGTTATTCTATCTAGTTGGGACCCTGCAACTCAAGCAGCATATGGTAATTCTGGATTTTTCAGAGGAAAACATTACTTAAAAGAATGGAACAGATGCCTTTATGAGGAAATATGTAAAATTCTTATTAGTTTGAAAAGAGACTAAAGAAACCAATACATAAAAACCTCAGGCAATGAACATTGAAATATTTCATAAACAAAAAATAAATTTGTTAATAGTAAGATTATAAAAAGTAGTAAGATCACAGAAAACAGGTAATATAGACATTTTAGATGACAATCTGTCATGGTCAATTAAATATCAAATGCACCTAGCTTACACTCAGCAAAATCAATTCTGGTATCTATGTTAGCGAGAACACTGACAGAAAAGTATTTGGAAACAAATGTCCATCAACAAGGGAATGTGTAATAAAAGGTAGCATTCTAACAAGATGGAACACTACACAGTCACTAAATTAAATAAGAACTCTGTCAACATAAATAAATCAAAATAACACACTATAGGCGTAGAAAAGCAAGATGCAGACGATGCATTGTAACTTTTGATATAAAATAAAAAGACAAAACCTCACACCTATAATATATTTTTCTACCTATTTGCATATGCATTTTTAAAAAGATTGTACTTATTTATTTTTAGAGAAAGAGAGGAAAAGAAACATAAGATGTGAGAAACGTTGACTGGTTGCATCTTGTATGCGCCCTGACCCTGGACCGAACCTACAACCCAGGCGTTGGGCCCTAACTGGGGATCGAACTGGTACCTTTCACTTTGCAAGATGACGCCCAACGAACTAAGCCACACCAGTCAGGGCTGCAGAAGCATTTTTAAAGGACGACAAACACATACACATTATCAAACTCCTTACCTCTGGAAGGACTGAAATACTATTACGATTCATAGTCAAATGGTATTTTAGCTTTTATTTGTAGTGTCCTAACACTTGTGAAACTAAAAACTGAAAAAGCAATAATCTGGGCAGAAATGAAGTTTTAAAACTTAAATACAAGAATATTGATGGAATGATCAATACTCTACTTTTCTAATATTCTAATTTTTAAAAGGATGGCTTTCTATATTCATGCATTACTTCTTTTTTGCATTACTTCTAAAAATTAAGATACAAAAAAAAAACTATAGAGGCGATAGTAGGCAACAACTAATACCAGACTATAATTTTTTTTAGATTTTTCTCTGGTATAAGAAAAATCACCTCAATAATAGAGAAATGAACTATCTAGACTTCCCAAGATTCTTTCAAATGTAATTATTTTAAAATTAACTTTCTAAATGTTAAGTGATAAATCACAAAGAATGACATATAAGACATATTTATGTTTTGACAGAATAGGTTTACTATGTCTCAGGTTCTCCACTATAAAGAGAAAAGATAATCGCTAATATCCACCTAGCTCTACATTATCAGTATCTACTTCAACAGACTTAAGCGAGATAAGCTTTGAGTTAGTATATTTATATTTATTATATACTTACTATATATTTATTATGTATTTAGTATTTATATTTACTTGAGTTAATATATTTATTATATTCATCAGCCTCCCAAAACAAATGTATTTTCATTCTTACCTAAAAAGCATAAAAACTGTAGCAGGCATCAAGAGTATTTCATTACAAGCAATGAATTTCAGAATATTCTGTTGATTAGCACTTAATTTATCCAAGATGGATCTCAGCAGCGGTAAACTATTTGAACCTTTTGCCTAAAATATAAGAAAACAAACATTAACAAAGCATTTCTGATTGCTCAATTATTTTCTTTAGATAAACAGCATATTCGACAGGCCATAAGACAACCAAAAGACAATTATTTGGAAATGATGATATAAAGTATAGAAACTATTTAAGGACGTAAGTTACATAAGGACATGTGTTTTCCTATTTAATTATATTTTGTGTATTTGAAAATTTAAAAACAATTTTAATGCAAGTCCTTTTCATTCTTAGAGGCTTCATTTTTCTTAAGATTAGATTATTTCACATAAATGGTGGTTATTTCTCTCCAACCATAATGAAATCCGACTACCCAGTAACATAGTTACAGTATCTGTGACTCCTTAGCTAACTAGAGGTCGAAATTACCAAGTCCCATTACTCCTGTGACCAAAGAACTATAGAGATTTTTAAAAAAGGCCAACACAAGGCAAATTTGAATATTTTAATTCAAATTTCAGTAAATACGCAGTCAAGCTAACTGGCACACTTAAGTTAGGCTTAATGTTCCAACCTAGGAATAAGAAATTTTAGGAAAAGTAGTAGTGCTGAACATTAGAGTATATTAGAATTAAATATTGACAGCACAAGAGGTCTCTGACAAATTGTCAAACCTAAAAGATTTGATTCCTTTAAATAACAGAGATCTATTTCAAACTTCACAAATTCCTGGGGCAACTTGGGGGTAATTTTAAATTCAATTTTTTATCAACAAAATATACTATTTTGTGAAATGTAAATAAAATATTCTAAACTTAAAACTTTAAAATTGCTAAATAATTTAGGAAAATTTTTAAGGATTAGAGGAACTTTTTCTTACAAAAGCCAGAATGTCTTAGAGCTCAAATTCATGTCACCTAGCTTTAATCTGGGGATTGAAAAAGAAAAATTAATAGTTTTACTTACATCAAGAACCTTTTTTGTGTATGTAGCAGCATGAAGCAAAGAGAATAACAAGACTGGGAAAATACTCACTGAAGAAAATAATTAAGGAAAACATTCAAAATTCATCAACTACTTTGCAAGCAAGCTATGTGTTACGTCCAAATACATGTATCTGAAACGGCATCTGCTAAAATGAGTTCAGTGACGTTTAGTGTTGCAAGGATTAAATGTCAAATTTGTATATAATGGCAAAACAGGTGCTTAAAAAATTTCAGTTTCCTCCTATTCGCTTTTAAGAATTATTATCTAAAAAGGTAACGTTTAGTCTCAAAGATATATTTTATTGTGCTTCCACTATGTATAGTTGTATAATAAATATTCAAGAACTCTTAGAGCAGTACTTCTCCAAGAACAAAACACTTTCTTTCCTGAGGGATGATCCACAGGAGGAAAATGACATTTAGTTTAGGAAGTCTCTTAGTCTCACAGTGTATATCAGCATATCAAAGGTCCTGTGGTAAAGAAGCCTATTTAATCTACTGATTCCCGGAAAAACACTAAACAGCCACTCCCTCCTCTGTCCCTCCCTTTCCTTATTTTTTCTTATTAGAATACCTTTATTAGCCCACAACACTTTTGAAATGTGTAAACATACAGATTCCAAATGAGTGATTTCATTCTCAATAGCTCCAGAGATTATTTTCTACTCTATCCATAGCAATAGCAATTTCATTGTCAAAAAGGCACAAAAGGATACTTGTAACAGGGTAGGAATTGACAAAGATGAGTGAATACAGCAGGTAGTGGCAGCTGTCCTCTAACAAAGCTTGGGCCAGGAAAGCTCTGCTTAACTGGAAGTGGGGTAATCTTTGATGCAGCCTCAGAGCACTGGTAAGAGCATTTGCCAGCAAAGCGCGTTGGTAAAAGCTTGCTGCTTCATGCAACCTGCAAATTACCAGAGGAGAGGTTATCATGAGACATAAACAACTACCATGCCTCTTCCTCCTTTGTGAATTGCATCATCATTGCACAACACCTAAATCAATTACTAATTGTAACCAGAAAAAAATGACTAGAATCTATTGTACATTCTTAGAAGCATCACTTCATATATTTACCTAACTGAATTTTATAAAGCACTCATTCTATTACGTTCAAAAGTCAAAAATGCAAAAAATACGAACTCATTTCCACATATCCATCTTCTCTCCAATTTTCAATGTGATGTTAGTTTCCAAAAAGCATGTAATATAAAATATATTCCTCCAGTTAGTAACATTAGGTTTTTAGTGCCTTAAACACAAGACTTGTACCCCTTACAGTTTAGTAAGTCTTGACCCTAGAAGATAGTCCATAAAAACTGACTTAACAACTGAATATTAAAGGCAGAAATAAATATAATACGTACCCAAGAAGAGGCAGAACAAACAAAGCAGAGCAGTAAACTGTGAACAAGCGAGAAAGCCACATTGCTGTGTCCAGTTTATTGGTCATCATGAATTGCTGAATTTAAAAAGAAAAATATTACAGTAAACTAAGGCTGCAAATTATGTTTTTAAGGATGACTATTACATAGTTTTATTTCTATTCAAAATGTTTTAATGATTCTGTAACAATACCATTTTTTTTAAGGATCATTAAATGAAAACTTTTAAAGCAACTGTTTTACATTAACAAATCCAAACACCTTACAGTTTTGATGTGAAAAACACAGGAAGTACTTAAACAGAAAAATACCAAAAAGGCTAATTAGGGAAAAAACTTTCGAACAGATATTTAACGACAGTTGTCTATATTTTCCTCCTACACTTCAAATACTGACTTCATCTATTTTAAAAGAATGTCATAAGAACTAACTGCTCTCAAGAGAAGGATAATGGCTATTCTCAGAAAAATCTCAACATCAAATAGGTATGTTTCAGATCTGAATAAAAGGTATCGTACAAAGCTACTTTGGATTAAATAAACCTTAGAGAGGAGAAATGTAAAACCCGCACTAACAGCCACTTACATTGCCTATGGATGCTTTGCCTATGTACACAGAAGGACCTGACATGCTCTAGGTACTCTAAGCATGGCTGTCAGGTGTTAAATGGCATCTGTCTCTCTGATTTTATGACTTTCTCATCCATCCCTTGGAAGCTCTCCCTCAAGTCTTACTTAAACTTCCATACCACCTCTCCAGTTCTCATTCTCTGGCCTTTTGCTTCTTTTGGCCAACAGATGTGTCCATCACCACTAACGCAGTAACTTAGTATCTGTGCCACATTCAAAATTATCTTACATTCAAATTCTGAAGTGGCTTTTGTATTTTTTGATAGGATCTACATAAATAATTCTTGCATCAAGATCTAACATTAACAGCTCCGGCTGCTGTGGCTTAGTGGACTGAGCACCAGCCTGCAAACAGGAAGATTCCTGGAAAGGGCACACCCCTGGGTTGTGGCCAGGTCCCCAACGGGGGTCGGGTGGGGGAGGCAACTGGTCAGTGTTTTTCTCAAACATCGATGTTTCCCTCCCTCTGTTTCTCCCTCCATTTCCCTCTCTCTAAACATAAACAAATAAAATAAAATAAATTTTTAAAAATCCAACATAAATGTATGTAGACATATAAACGAGTTTCACAAAACAATACTTATCCATACTACATGTGATGGACTTGGCACTTTGTATTTCAGTTAATGTTTGTTTTTTTTTTTAAAGACTTTATTTATTTTTAGAGAGACAGAGAGGGCAGGGAAACATCGATGTGAGAGACATCAATTAGTTGCCTCTCACACCAGTCCCGACCAGGACCAAACCTGCAACCCAGGAATCGAATGGGAGACCTTTGGGTTTGTGGAATGACACCCAACCAACTGAGCCACTTTGGTCAAGGGTATAGTTAGTGTTTTAAAATACTTAAGTGTTTCCACTGAACTGATTTCAAACCTCACTAATGGGTCTTAACCTGGAGTCTTAAAACACTAGTCTAAGCAATCCAATGTTAATTATTTTTTGAAGGAAGATGTACAAAGTAAGACAAAAGTAGGTTTACAGTTGTGTATATGCAAAACAGTTTATTCTTGTATCACTCTTTATTAATTATTGTATTATTTTCTATATTAACTGTAAACCTACTTTTGACTAACCCAATAAAAAGATTTTGGAAAAAAATGCAGACATTTTATCGCATGTCTTTTTTAACAGCATGCAGGTTACTTCAGAAATGTCTCTAGTTCATCCTACCCAACCATATTATTTACTCCTCTAAATTTAAATGATCACCAGCTCTCAAGTGGAAGGATGAGTTTAGGTCACTATGCTCAGTTTCTCTATAGATGTTCAGAGTCTAAACCATAGCTTGAAATTTAATTTTAGAACACTTTATTACTTAAAAAAATTGTTTTCTTTAGACTCCAGGGAGAGGGAAAGGGAAGGAGAAAAAGGGAGAAACACTGATGTCTGAAAAAAACATTAGTCTGTTGCCTTCTGCACGCACCCCGACTGAGGACAGAAACCACAATCCAGGCCTGTGTCCTGACCAGGAACTGAACCCGTGACCTTTGGGTCTGCTGGACAAAGCCCAACCAACTGAGCCACAACAGTCAGGGCAAGAACGTTTTCTCTAAAACTTACTTGTTTAGGGTGTTCATTTCATGGTAAATCATTGAGCTACGCATTCTATTTTGTACATTTTTATGTATGTGTATTTTATTACACAACCAAAAAGATTTTAAAAAGATGTATTGGTTTAAATTTTAAGAGTGAACTACCCAATCATGTCATAAATAGTTTAGGCAAAAAATAGCAATGGATGTTGGGGTGAAAAGCTATGTACCATGTCATAGATTGCTTTTTAGTAACAAAGGCAAAAAAGATTATCTTTACAATGGAGAATCTGGTGGATACCACCTTAACCAGATAATCAAATTCAGTATCTCCAAAGGACGCATAAATCAACATAAAATGCTTCCTAATGTATATAATGCACTGAGAAGGGCAGAATATCACTAGGTATTCCTGCCAAAATGTTTAACCTGAATCTAGTCATCAGGAGGGGAAAAATAAAATCAGACAACTCCAATTTAAGAAGTATACTGCAAAACAACAGATCTGGGCTCTGGAAAGACAAAAATGGGAGGAGGGCAAGGGACCTGTTCTAGACTAAAGTAAAGGCTAAAGGCCAGTAAAGGCAAGGGCAATGCGTGCTTTTTGACTGAATGATGAGGAGAAAAGCAGCTTTGAAGGACAATCAAGGATATCTGAATACAGACTGACTACGTTTTAACATGTATCAACAGTAAATCTCCCAAATTTAACTACAAAAATTGCACTGACAACTGCACAGTAGTCATGCTGAATACTTAAGTATTTATGGATTAACTATCATGATGTATGCAACTAACTCTCAAAAGATTCTGCAAAGTAAAAAATAAAGTATATATAGAGAGAGAGAGAGATTCTGCAAAATGTTTAAAAAGAAAAACAGTGACGCTCAATTCACATACTCATAGTGTTTAGAGGGCAATAATGCTTTGGGTACAAGTAACTAGTAAGCAGTAAATCTGTATCTTAAGAGTAAGAAAGTTACGAAAGCGAAATATTTCTCTTCGTAAAAAAATGACGAAATCAAGAAGACTGCTCTCCTCCCTTTGCATAATTTCTATATAATGGCATAAAATGGGCAGAACCGTTCTCTTGCCAGCACGCGGGTACGGAATGAGGAAAGAGTGCCATGGCACCATCTCAGCTGGCACCTTTAACCTTGGGACCAAGGATAGAGACCGAGGGGTGTAAGAGGCACGAGGGCCCGGTTTCCACAGTGTACAGGTGTAGGCCACCTGCTCCAGGCTGGCCCGCCTACGGGCCTGACTTCGCTTCGGAAAAACAAAGTTGTAGCTGCCGCTACTTCTCCGATCACGACCTCCCCTCTCCCGCCACGCACAGCCCCACCCCAATCACTACTTCCAGTCCTGAAAGCAATGGGCTTCTGGAGTGCCTCGGACGCGACTTGCAACACTTCCTGCTCCCCGCAAACTCTTGCAAATCAAGCCAGACCACCCTGCTCGCTCACTTACCACTGCGCCTGCCCCTTGGGGGCCGTTCGAGGCCGTATCCGCCATGGGGGACACACACGCGTCTGGGACGCTGCAATTGGGAAGGGACAAAAAATAAATGTTAGCGCAGGAGCCACGGCTCCGGTAACCGGCTTCCCTGCCCGGTGCCACGAGGCCGGAGTGCCCTGCGGGGACTCTCCAACCCTCCACGGAGGAAAGTTCTCCCCAGCACCAGTTCACCGACTCGCCCGCGGACCCCAGCACCGGCCGGGAAGTACCTGTCCGGCGCGGCCAGGAGCGAGGCTGGGTTTCTAGAAAGACCGGGGCGAAGGCGGAGCTTCGAAACAAGGCCCAATACTGTTGCTCCAAAGCCGGCGCCGGGTTATTGCAAGAACCGGAAGTGCTCCTTTCACTTCCGTGGGAAAGAGGCTGTGACGAAAAGGGGAAATCTGGAGCGGTGCCTTGGGGCACAACGGGAAATGTAGTTCTCGTTTCAGCTTCCAACTAGAAAGTGAGGACGGTGAAGCCACTTTATTATCACCTCCAGCTCACAAATGGCCCCTCCTGCCAAGTCCAAACCACGAAGTCTCTCTCTACACCTTAATATAGAAGGCCTAGAAATGTCTTCTTTGCTGTTTTCCTCCAGGGGCTCATTAGGCCCTATGGTTCTACTTCTAAAATTAATTATTTCAACAAGGACTTAAGGAGGCCTGCTACGTGAGAGGAGGCAGGCTTGACACAGACTGCAGGAGGGACAGACAAGTCAACTGAAAATACTGGACAGTGCTTGTGCAATATCAGCAGAGGCTGAGTTAATTACAGGGAGCACATAGTAGGAGACCTAAATCAAAAGGGGTCTGGGAAGTTTTCCTGGAAAACGTAATTCTGGCCCAAGGTTTTGAAGGGCAGGGAGAAGTGAGGGCAGGGATTCCAGATAGCTACAGGAAGTGCATGAAACAACAGGAAAGAGTCAGGTGACTAGTTCAGTCTGGCCAGAATGAACGTGCCAGTGAGGGAGACTGTGAAAGATTTGGGCTAGAGAATCAGGCAGATGTGCTAAAGAGACGATCTTAACTTAATCCTGCAATCCAGATAACTACGGTACAATTTTAAATGGCAGTGTGACATCGTGAGATTTAAATCATTCTGGCAAGTGGATAGAAGATGATCAAAAGAACAAACTAAAAGCCAGGAGACTAACCGGGAGGCCATTACATACGTATAGAAATGATGAGATTCTAAATGGAGGCAGTGTTCTGTGGGTAGAGAAGAGGAGCAAGGTCTTGAGGCCATTCAAGATTTGGTGACTGACAGGTATGGGTGTGCTGGAGAAGGAAGGTTATTGTCGGAGACCTAGAGAAGAGCTTAGAAGCAGGGTTAGAAGAACAGAGGATTGAGAAAAAGATCTGAGGGGTGGAGGAGAGAAAGCCGACTAGACATATACAGGAAAACTGGTATCCCACTTGGAAAACATGGACCTATACAATATTCTGACTCTCAGGTGTTAGTTTTCTGCCAATATCCATGGGCACCTACACCCAGGTGCCAGTTGGCTGTAGCTGACAAGTCAGATGGGGTCCTCTTCAAGCCATGTACACGTCAGTGTTTGTAAGACCACTGCCCAATTCCCAGCCTGGATTAACTATCTGCCTAGCTAAGGTAAAATATTACCTCCTCTGCACTTCTCACTCATTTACTCCCTATTTTTGTAACACTTATCACTCTCTGACATTTCTTCTCATTATTTGTACACCTACCAGGAGTGTGTGTGTGTGTGTGTGTGTGTGTGTGTGTCTACACTTGGGCTGTCATAACAATACCACAGCCTGGGGGACTTAAACAACAAAGATTTATTTCTCACAGTTCTGGAGCTTGGGAAGTCCAAGATCAAAGTGCCAGCAGGTAGGCCTCATTCTGAAGCCTCTTCTCATGACCTTTTCATTGTGTATGCATGGCCTTTCCCAAGCGGTGCATGTGTGAGGAAATGGGTGGGAGGAGAAAGAAAAAGATCCTTCTTCCTTTTTTAATAAGGCCATTCAGTCTTATCAGACTAGGGCCCCAATGACCTCATAGACCCTTAATTACTACCGAAAAACTTTATCACCAAACATAGTCACATTAGAGGTTCGGGGTTCAACACATCAATTTTGGAGGGACATAATTCAATCCATAGCAATATGTGTGTATGTGTTTTACTGATTTAAGGAATATTCTTATTATAAAAATATTAAAATATAAAATGTCCTTTATTGTAAATTCCATACAGCCAATTGATTCTCACACAATACTTTTGATTTTTGCTGAACTATTGTATCCATAGCAATGTGTGGTTGCCATTAAGGAACCAGTGTAATTCCATGTATATTGCTTGCTATTTTTGTTAAGGAGTAAAATGAAAGTGAAACACTAGACATATATTGAAAGTTCAGCCCTGACCAATGTGACTCAGTTGGTTGCGTGTCATCCTGCAAAGCAAAAGTCATCACTTCGATTCCAGGTAAGGGCACATGCCTGGGTTGCAGGACCAGTCAGGGTGCATATGAAAGGCAACCTATCGATGTTTCTCTCCCGCATAGATGTTTCCCTCCCTTTCTTTATCCCTCCCTCTCCCTCTTTCTAAAAATAAATAAAATAAAAAAAGAAAGAAATTTCACTCTTCCAACATTATTGCGATCACTTTCTTTGTTGGACTGAAAACTAGTTCTTGAATACTAGAAGAATATTTACTCAATTTTAAAATGCTATTCACAATGTAACAGCTACAGATATAAGGCACTTTTAAGTTGAATCTGCACTATTAGCATTCTCTCTACCGCTTTTAAGTCTAAACAATCAACAAAACAATAAATCAAGCCCTGATTTGGAGTGTTTGCTGATATTTCCATGGTGTAAATGTGCATACCATAACTTATTTCAATTATTAACATAATGCCACTAAACATGGAGTTGGGAAGAGATGTGCATTGCATTACATTATATATTTCCCTGGTGCAGATACAGTAGATATAAATAACATCAAGAGCATATATAATGGTAAGATGTAGTAAAAAATAATTAGAAAGTAATGAGTTTTGAGTATTTGTTATTTGTTTTTAATATAACATTGTACATTTATACAAATTTTAATAATGGCTGCACATAACTAGCTCACAAAATTCTTTTTAAAAAAATATGTTTATTGATTTTAGAGAGAGAGGAAGAGGGAGACACAGAGAGAGAAACATCTATTGGTTGCCTCTCATACATGCCCCAACTGGGGATTGAACACACAACCCAGGTATTAGCCCTGACTGGGCATCAAATCCCGAGCCTTTGGTGTATAGGACAATGATCCATCAGACTGAGCCACATCAGACAGGGCCTCACAAAATTCTTAAAAATTTAACAATCAGCTCTTGCAAGTCAATGAGAGCTGATTCCAGCATATCACTATGTGTCTTTGTTTGTGATACTCTCCAGCCCTTCCCTCCCCTTCCTATAGGCATCAGAATTCTCCTTAAACTTAAATGCTCTCAATCCTACTGCCCAGTGACACCATCACCAGTCTCTCCTTTTATCACCAGAAAAATTGTTTATTATAAAACCCTTGAATGTTTTGCTATTCTAGGCAGGTACTTATTTAATCTTCTCTTGTATTATAATTTGTTTTATATTCTTATCAAACATCTTAAGTTTCAGGAAGGAAACATGAGAAACTGTTAACAATAGGGAGTAGAAGGGGGAGGAGGACTTTTGATTGATAATCTTATATACATTATTCTATTTTTAATTTAATTTTTTATACTACTCAATTAAAAAATAAATTTATTAGCCTTGGCTGGTGTGGTTCAGCAGATTGAGTGCTGGCCTACAAACCGAATGGTCACTGGTTCGATTCCCAGTCAGGGCACATGACTAGGTTAAGGGCCAGGTCCCCAGCCGGGGCATGGGAGAGGCAACCGATCGATGTTTCTCTCATACATCAATGCTTCTCTCCCTCTCTTTCTCCCTCCCTTCCCCTCTCTCTGAAAGTAAATAAATAAAATATTTTTAAAAAATAACTAAGTATTAAAATGGTCACAAAATAATATTAATAATAGATTCTTCAGTGGATGCTAAAACCATTGGTTGAAATGTTGATGGGGTACAATATTGGCACAGTTCCAAGGTATCACTCTAAAGAGTTTTTTTAAATAATTACACAGGAAAAACGAATCTTTTACATGAGTGACATGGAAGTTAAAACCTTAACCAAAAGATCAAATTTAGCATCAAAAACATGGTGGGTTATCCTAGCACTGTCTCCTGAAGTGATGTAATGCAATATTCACAACATCCCCTATAAAAAATTCTTGGCAGAATATTTATTCCAAACCTAATCAAGCCCTTTCAGACCTAACTTCCAGCTTACAGAAAATGGGAAGAGACAGAGTAACAAGTAAAACAATACCATGAGATAAAAATAAAAGTGCAGGATCTTCCACAAAATAATTGGCCTGTACTCTTAAACTGTATCATTGTAAAAGGTGGGAGAGCCATTTCAAATTAAACGAATGTACAAAGTAATAAAACCGAATATATGATTTGATTGTATAGATTCTAGCTTGGGAAACAACAGGAAAAGAAACTTGGGGGACAAGTATAGATACTTGATTATAGTGTAGTTTTATATTCTTTTACATTTTTAATAGATGGCACCATACTTCATGGATGCTCTTGCAACCTACTTTTCTTTAGTCAGCATTGTTGAGATGTATCCATATTAGTACACCTAGGTTTAGTTCATTTATTTTTGCTATCCTATAGTATTATATTAATAAATTACCAAAATTAATGTCCTGTTAATAATAGACATGTAGTTTTCACCTTTAAAGTCAATTCTGCAAAGAACAGCTTTGCATGAGAGTTCATCTAGCTAGAGTAAACATTTAGAAGTGAAATGGTCCATAGGGTATCTTCCACTTTGCATATTAAGATAATTGTAAATCTTCTCCCTTAAGTGTTTATTCTTAGTGTGTAAGAATATCCCTAATCCCTACCAGCATGTGTTATCTTTAGTTCTCCCCAATCTTATGTATATGAAATGGTATATCATTAGTGTTTTAACTTGCAGTTCCTTGAGTTGCAGTGAGGTTCCGCATCTTTTCAGAACTTTATTGGCCATCCAGCTTTTGTGTTCTGTAGCCTCTTTTTCTGTTGTGCTGTTTGCCTTTTACTCTCCATTATTATTGGTTTTTTGGAGTTTTAAAAATTTATGCTTAAATGTTAAAATTATGTTTTGATGCCAATCTTTTCTTATGAGTTGAAAATTTTCCTTTCCCTTTTGAAGCTGAAAAAAAATACTAAGTGAATATAGGAGGGAAGGATGGAGGGACAATCTGTTCCACAACCTTAGACCCCAC